AACAACTATCCGTGAGAAGTTCTCCACAAAACGCCTATAATATCCAACTTAAATCGAAAAAACTATGAATCTCAAAAGTGGATATTGGCCTTGGCTAGTGAGTAACCGTCTTAATTTTCTTTAGGTCCACTTCTATCCCATCCTTTAACACTACATGTCCTAGAAAAACAACACTATCTAGCCAAAATTCACATTTGGAGAATTTGGTATACAACCGATGCTCCCTCGAGGTCCGAAGTACCATTCGTAGGTGATGCTCATGCTCTTCCTTACTCTTGGAATAAACCAAAATATTATCTATGAACACTATAACAAAGTCTGTCAAGAAATGACCCGAATACTCGGTTCATGAGATCCATAAATGCTTGCAGGAGCATTAGTAAGTCCAAAAGACATCACAAGGAATTCATAGTGTCCATATCTACTTCTAAATGTTGTTTTTGGGATATACTTTTTCCTTATTCACAATTGATGATATCTTGATCTCAAGTCTATCTTGGAAAAGAATTGAGACCACTTGCAATCGGTCAAATAGATCATCAATTCTAGGTAACGGATACTTGTTACGGATTGTGACCTTATTCAACTATCTATAGTCAATATATAGGCATAAAGACCCATCCTTCTTCCTTACAAACAAGACTGGTGCACCCCAAGATGACACGTTAGGCCTAATGAACCCATTGTCAAGTAAATATTGTAATTGCTCCTTGAGCTCTTTAAGCTCAACTGGTGCCATCCTATAAGGTGGCATTGATATTGACTCGGTTTCGAGCACAACATTTATGTAAAACTCTATCTCTCTCTCCAAAGGTAATCCTAGCAATTCTTCCGGAAACACATCTAAAAATTCATTCACAACTAGCACATCATCCATCTTTGACTCTAGAGAGCTTACATCTCTCACAAAAGCTAAGTAACCACAACATCCCTTATGCAAAATACAACTAGCACTAAGTATTGACACAAGGTTATATGGAGCTAAACTTCTATCTCCCCGAAACCGGAATTCGACTCATCCGGCATGTTAAAATTCATCATCTTTCTATTATAGTCAAGAGATCCATGACATTGAGACAACCAGTCCATTCCTAATATTACATCAAAGTCCACTTACTCAAACAATAAGAGATCCACTTAAAGATCTCTATCTCCTACCTTAACCTTGCAAGACCAATACACCAAATTTACCTCTATATTCTTTCCTACTAGAGTGACACTACTAAGGACTCATCTAATCTCTCCGACTATTTACCCAACCTCTTGGCTAAGAATAAAGATATAAATAAGTAAGTAATCCCGGTGTCAAATAATACCCTTGCATCAAGAGAATGAATAGGAAGTATACCCGACACTACGACATTAGAAGCCTACGTATCTTGTCTAGTCAAGGCATACACCCTAGCTTATCCACGCTCTATAAAACTCGATCTCTTACCCCTACACCCCGACCTTTACATGTCCGTAGCCGACTTCTACCTGTCTAAGATTGACCTCTATCAGATTGCATCAATCCTCTACCACCAAAACGTCTACCTCCTAAACCTCATCCACCAGCCTCATCAGTCACATCGATAGCATAACTCGATCGGATGAAGTAGGTGCATTCTCTAGCAAAATGACCCTCTTGTCCACAACGATAAAATCCACCATATCCAACCCTACACTAGCCCCAATGCATCATGTTACAAGTTAGACAATGAGAAAGAGTATGACCATTTTACCCGGACCGAGGAGGAATATGAGTATTCCGGCTCGCTTGAGTTAAGCCCCGCTAACCGTAGCTCATAAATCCATGACTCCTACCTATAGATGTTTCGGGCCTATGTAAACCATGTTGGCCATTTGGCCCTAATGGCCCGAACCCCTACTAAATCCACTAAATCCACTACCTCGGCTCCGATGGCCACTCGGACCGGCACCGAACCCCTACTAAATCCACTAAGTCCACTACCTCGGCCCCGATGGCCACCGGACTTCCCCTCACCTCTACTCCTTTTAGGTTGAGGACTCGCTCTTCCGGGCAATCCACTCGAGATAACTCTATTAATTGGGCACACTCTACGACCTCCGTATAGGTGTTCACCCTTGCGACAATCAAAAGTGTACGAAATCATGGCACTAAACCACCTATAAATCGAGACATCTTTAGCTCCTCTATGCCGACTAGGTAAGGAGCATACTTGTTCAACTCTATAAATTGTGAATCATATTCGGTAATGGTCATGTAAGCATCTTGTCTCAATCTCTCAAAATCAAATGCCCGCTACTTACCTAACACTCTCGGCGAGAAATATATCTATGAAAGCCTTACTAAAATCCTCCCAAATCTAGTTGAATAATCCCTCGATCTTAAACCGGCGTTTGGCTATCTCGATCAAATAGAATTCTACTATCTATATTGCGTTTTGAGAATCACAACCCAATGCCTTACATCTTGTATCTATCTCCTCTAGAAACAAATGAGAATCCTCATCGGGTTTTCCTTCAAACCACGACGGCTTAAGTTTCAAGAACGTAGATAATGGCACTCTATCGTCATTAGCATGTGAAGAGGATGGTGCCATCCTCGCTTGTGCATGTAGCCTCTCATGTCGTGCAATGATTTACATTAATAAGTTCAAGCTTTCGGAAACATCTTGTGCCCCTAGAGTGGTGCACGGACCCGCTCACTCTTTCCTTATCCGCCTCTCTCTCGTCCGTCATAAAATCTCGTTTACTACCCTTGCTATCCCATGTAACATGTGGGATGGCTAGGCCGAGTACTCGTACGTGGGGCTCTAGCACCCCTCCCATGACCTACATTAAGGGTTCTTCCACCCCTGTTACCTCTACCACCTCTAGTCCTCGCCATCTAGTAACAAAAGAGTCCTAATCAATATCATTTTATAACAAATACATAGTATACTTAACTCGATATAATAAGAAGCATTACATAGAAACTAAGATGCAATGAATAACTTAAAGACAATTTGGAAACCTATAACTACCTATAGCTGCACGATGCAAAACCAAAGTTTATCCTATAACTTACTTACTAGTTCAACCTTAAAGCATATCTACCAAGCCTAAACCATTGCTCCGATACCAACTTTGTCACGATCCGAACTAACGAGCCACGATCGATACGTAGCTCGGGGTAAGGTGACCCACCACGAGCTATGTGAGCCTTAATCCTTTCTCTATTTTCTACGAAATTTCGACGACATTTCCCCTATAATTGGAGGGTCTCAAAAATAATATATATCCCGCATAAAAATCATAATATATATACACTTCTAGATCATCTTCATTAATTCTCAATCATCATCAAGTCCCTCAATTAGACATTCACACTTCATCATAAATCTCGGTATTTACTAAATTGACTAACAAACATATAATCCGATATTTAACATAACAAAATTCATAAATCACCATTTAACCATTCAAATACAAAACATGGAGACCATTAACTAGCTATCCCCGGATTTGATGATGCTACCAACGGAGCAACTAAGTGAAATAAAATATATATAATGACTAATTATAATTCCAAAATGGATAATGAGTACAAATTTGAAACAACCATGACCTATACCGGATGAAGCAAAATAATGTCCGGGTAGTACCTTCAAATCCGAAAAAATCTATCATCCTCCTTCTATGATCTAGATTATGTATTATCTCCAAAACATTTGAGGTTAGGGGTGAGTTTTCAAAACTCGATAAGCATAACACATATTATAAATCGTTATACATATAATTATGCCAATGCACCTATCATACATGATTTGTAACCAAGCAAGCAATCAATAACTTTTTCTTTTTCTTTCTTTCTTAACAATTAATAATAGCATAACAATTACTTGAAATCACTCTATGCGGAATCTGTCTATTCCTTTGACCCTTAAAAGGGTAACTATGGCCTCCGTAGGGATAAACTCTAGCCTTTAAAAGGGTAAACCGTGGCCCCGCGGGGTGAACTACGAAGGAAGCACTACGGCCATTCCCTAGCCGGGAATACTAGGTGCACCTAAGCTAACTATAACCATGTTAGCTTAGTTAGTCCCGCATAGACTTCTTTCAAGTCATCAATATGATTATTCTCATTCAGTACATATCAATCACACGATTCCATTTAATGCAAGTAATAATCATATCAACATGCACATATATCATTCAATGTATCAATATTCTCTTTAATAACCACAATTCATATGGCAACATACCAATTCAATTCATTTAGCTTATGGTAAGAACACCCATACTAAAATAATTCAACTCATATATAATTATTTGTACTAATTAAGCGTTTATCCATACAATCAATTTTTCACTTCACAAGCAATATATACATATATGATAGTAAAGACTCATAATATGTGCTATACTTACCTCTAATCTAGAGGAATACCCCAAATTGTAATTATCTCTTCCTTAAGTAGCTTCTTCCACCAAATCCTCTCTTACCTCTATCATTATAAATTTACATTTATCATAAATAACAATAATTAGACACTAATAAATTAAAATTCAAGCTTAATTGGAAGCTAATTAATCCATTCACTCACTTTCCCCAAATTTCCTAAACTAACATAAACCCTAATTTTAATCAAACCTAATCCATAATTCTAATTCAAGATGAAATTAACTAAATTACCTATAACCCATCCTAATTAAGGATATAATTAGCTAAAACATTCAAAAAAAAAATTCAAAAACTAACTTGATAAATCTTTTTCCTTCTTCCTTCTTCCATCTCTTTTTATCCTTATTTTTCTTCTTCTTACCCGAATTACTCCACTATTACCGTCGTCGAAGTGGGTGGCCGTCGGCAACTCGTCTCCTTTCTTTCCTTCCTTTTCCTTTCCTTCTCTTCTTTTTTTTCTTTCTCTTCTCCCTTTCCCGTTCTTCTTTCCTTTGTTTCGAAACCATTCCGCCAATTCTTCCCTTTTGTTTCTTTCTTTTCTTTTCTTTTAAATTACCCTAATGCCCCTCATTTAAGAATCCTATTTAAGTCACTTATTGATTTTATGGGTATTACGATAAACCGATGTCATCCAAGTATGCCGAAGCACCGAAGCATAATTGACACCATGGATCATCTGGCTTCCCTTAGTCGAGGGATCATTGAAAGCAGGAACCAAAGGAAGCTTAAGCTGGTCGCAAAGGAGGTCAATTACATTTTTCCCATTTGTAAATCTACCATATGGCCCATAAGGGAAGTCTATTCCATATGGCAAAAAATCAGCTTGAGCTATTGAGTTTTTGAGGACGTTGTTGTTGCCATTGTCAACTAGAGAGCTTCCAAACACAAACACCCCTTTAATGATAGCTCCATTTTTCTCTGTTTCCCTCGCATAACCACTGCCTGGAAAAACGCATGCAAGGATGGGGGGTTAATAAGAAAAGTCTTGACTAAAAATCAATTATTTTATGTAAAAAAGTGACCAAGATATAAGATTTCACCAAAAAAAAATGCTACGGATATGGAAGAGAGAGAAATGATGGAAGATAAAGGTCAGCAAGGCAAATTGATTTCTCCTCATTTGGTCATCTAGGACATTTTACCTTGGTTTGGGGGGTGTTGACATTGGTCAGTCAGCTTCCTTTTCAAGGTTTGGTGGAGGTGATGGCTGAGGTAATAAATTTGGTGTAGATACTTTGATGTTCATCCTGATGGGTGCCAATATTATTGTGATCACTTGCATTTTGGGACAGGTAACCTGTTGATAGCAGCAAAAGCATTTAACGATATAATAGTATTTAACCAATGATAGTTACCAACGGGGTGCAATTTCTTTGCAGATGATGGACCTAATAGATGCATTGATCGGACATAGCAAATTTCTAATAACCGAGTAAGATTTTACAACAGCGACAGAGGCTTGAATGATGGCCCCGACAGGTATGGATTGGAAGCAGAGGACCAACCTGTTATGACAGAAGTAGAAAGATGGACAGGCTTTGTCCTAATAATAAACCTAGAATAGCATGTAGCTTGTCTTTCTACGCGTAGGCACTGACATGCTATTCGATTCTTTTTGGATGCAGTATTCATCTGGTATCATAATGGGTGCTATATAGGCATAGACATGTAGCCCTGTTTCTTGCCACCTGATCTGGTATTTGATTAATATGGTTGCTTCTGTGATTTGATTAATTTGAGCATGACTTGTTTTAAGAATAAAAATGGTGTTTGGTATTCTCCTTGTAGGTTTTCTTATCTGTAGGCCATATAGTTGCGTTTGGTCTCCTTTGACAAGTGAAAATTTCACATTCATTCACAAACTGAAAATAGTTGAGGTTTCTAAGTGAGAAGATTTTGTAAATGATTCTAACTATGCTCCACATATTTTCTGACAATTCCTGATGAGATATTTTCATCATAAATTATAAGTGATTGTTGATAATCAACATGGGAAATTGTTTTTACTTGTAATACAAATGCTTAAATGAATAAAATTTTGATTACTTGTAATACAATTTGATTTAAATTTTTCAGACAACTGAGTAAGTTTACAAATTAATTGAACGGACTAATTACTGTCGATTTTGAGCTATTGACCTATTCCACATCAGTTCTGCAAAGTGGGCAGGATTTGGAATTTTCCAACCAACGAAAGATGCATTTTTCATGAAACGCATGAGCGCAAGGTAACTTTGTGAGCACAACTGAAGTGGAAAAGTCCTCCAAGCAAACTACGCAACTACTACCAGAAGAAGAATCACCATTGCCCTGCTTCAAGTAAAACCTCTCCTTCTTCAACTTCTTCAACACTGTTTCGGATGCCCCCCTTGGTACAGTAGCACCTTCGCTATCAAATATTGCCCTAATCTCCTCTGGTGCAACTTCATGTACATCTACATCAACAAGATCCACATGAGCTGACACATGGAATCCCCTACAGCGTCCTATTAGACCGTAAGCAAAGGACGCAATTTTTGAGGCCAAATTGTCACAGAACGAAGCAGCAAGATTGAAGCCAGAAATCTTGTGGGCAACGTAAGGAATGAATAAAGCAGGCAAACCAACAACTTCAATAGGAATTTGGAACAAACAGCCTGATTCTGGAGTAATCGGGTATGAATCCAATAGAATTTCTTCTCCTCCTCCTCCTGCGACCCTCAACCTTATTTCACACTTTCTTTGTAACTTGATGTTGACAACGTACATGGGATCACGATGACTGCTTGGATCTACCATAAGTGTGCTGAATGCCGTTAGGGTTTCATCAACTCTTGTAAGTTCCATTGAAAAAGAGCAACAAGAAGATGGAAGTGATGACAAAGTCTGCAAGAGAGAGAGAACTAATCAAAAGGATTAATGGATAGAGAGAATTGTATCGTTTTGCCTTGTATTTATAGTGACAGAAAGAACAACCTTAATCCGTTTTAGAAAAGGAAACCTATGAACAAGAAACCTATGTAATCCGGGATTTCACCAATATTGCTAATTCCTGTCCAAAACAGGAAACCAAGTACTAATATTAATTCCTTTTGACGTAAGGAAAATAAAAAGGAAACATGGAGAGGCTGATCCTTTTTAATTCCATGTTTCTTTTTTTATTTGTCAACCTTTTTTGGTTTATTTTAAATTTTAGGAAGCATTATTTTAATTTCTTTTGTTAGTTGAAATAAACTTGATTTTGAAGGAAAATAAAGGGGAATAGTTTGCTCTAATTACCAAAATTCTTTAAAGGAACAAAAAAAATTATAATAAAATACTTAAGGGAAAGAAACACAAATTTTAAAGCGCAAAAATGTTTTTAAGACAATAAATATTTTAAATCAAAATCAAGTTGATATGAATTTCAAAGAAATTACATATCAACAACATTACTAATGGCTTAAAGAAATTAATTTCTACAATTCTTATTATTAGTTTTGATATGAATTTCATATCAACAACATCTCAAAAATAATGAAAGTAAATTAATTAAAATTTATTATTGAATAGCATCAAATAGAGAGTTCTATATAACCATGTTAGTTAAAAATGTCAATCAAGTTATATATATTGTAAATCTTTTTTTTTAAAAAAAAAAGAAATAATAATGATAATTTGGAAGGAAAAAAAACGTAATTATTTAGTCTTTTACCTTAAATCTTTAATTGTCACATCATTACTACATAAAAATTTTGAGCACAAAATTTGTTTGATATTTCTGAAAAAATTAATATATTAAAAAAAATAAAAATTAATATGCTCAAAAGATTTAAAATTGGTTACTGGGGAGAGTCCACTACCCAATTTTATTGGCAATTAAAAAACATCCCAATTTCTTGTGGAAAATAGTCTTTCCCTTCTCAACAAACCAGCTGATCTAGTAGTCCTTTTTCATTGACTACTAATAAAAAGCATTATCCAAGGAAGGTAAAAAAAAAAAAAAACTCCCAGACAAAACAGCTGGGAAACCTCATTTCATCACGCTCTTTTCGCCACCGGAAAACGGCCATGGCTGCCTCATCCGCTGGCAATCCGCTAACGTTCTCTACTATGTCTCCCCGACCGAAACGTTTCGAATTCTCTCCCGATCCGCCGCTCAAAATCTCTCTCACAGCCGACCAGCACAAGCATTGCTCCGAGGCTTTACAGTTCTTTAAGGAGAAACTCAGGACCCCAGAGAGAATCGCACAAGAGTTCGCTCACATACAGGTTCAAAATGGCTTTTTTTTTTTTTTTTTTTTTAGTTTTAGTTGCTACCTTTTTTCTTTAAAGACCATCTTTTTGGTTTTGTTTTCGAAGCAAAATAGAGTTGAGATTTATGTTGGATTGTTTTGTTATGCCAAGTTATTTTTTTTTTATTTGTTAGTCGTTAAGTTTATAGATGGGAAACATGATATGGGTTCTTGTAGTTTGCTGTTTTTAAGGATGTTTTGAGGGGTCATTGTGTTTGGTTGCTGAGAAAATGTGAGAAGTGAAAAAGGGTAATTTTTTTATGAAAAAAATACAGTGAAAATTCATTCTTTATAGAAAGATTGAAAGTCGAAGCCAAACTCTACCTACAAACGATAATACCAAAATCTATCCAAACTAGATTTAAAGTAAGTCATAATTACTACAAACGGCGACTGAGTACTGGCAAGAATACGGATTGGAGTTCCTGGAAGCTTACTTTTTACAACAAAAAGAATAGAATCGAGGACACTATTATGGGAGGCGCATTTTCCTTCTTGACATCTAGCATTTTTCCTCTCTAGATAAAATAAAGAGAGGCACGGCACGCCTAGCAATGCTTAACAAGATAGAAGAAAGTTATCTTCTGGAGATTCATCTTTGCTCGGCTGAATTGCCCTGCCAGTCTCCAATGGGCCACTTGATATTGCACTTTTGTAAAAGAAGATGTCATGTAGGTCTGACCCAGGGACATGCAAAATCTTAGTGATGCAAAGTTTTATTGCTTTGACTACATACAATGGAGTGGATTAATGCTCGTTCCCTAATTAATTTGTCTACCTTCTGTAGAAAGCCTGTTGAGCACAATCAGCCAACAGTAGTGCTGTGTTTTGGAAGATAAAGAGATCCCCAGATAAGTGAAACTGAAAGTTTGGTTCTTTCTAGGGACAAGTTTTTGCACACAAAAGGGAGGAAAAGACATTTCCTGTTAGGGTTTTTGGAATTGATTAATGAGATTAAAGGAACTGTTTTCTTTTATGCAATCATGTTTTCAATCTTTTGTTTCTGTTTCTTTTTTATTTTTTTGCTTGGAAAATATGATTAAAAAAAAAGTAGAGAAAAAGATTAATTTCCATTTTTTAATATCAATAAATGGGATTCTATTTGAAGTAGGCTGGACTTAAAACTTGGTTTGTAAAAGCTGCATATGTGATGTTAAAGCATGTTGTTCTTTTGTGATTTTGTTATTCCAGGCTAGTAGGATAACACCATCTCAGATGGCGAGAAGCTGCAAGGTGGCTCTTGACAGTGTGAATGCGAGCAAAAACCGTTACTTGGATGTTGTACCATGTAAGCTAATTTATTTTAAAAAAAAATCTTAGAAGTTTACATCACTTTTATGATGCTTCAAGAACTTTTTTTGACTAGCGGACTTTTTTTTTTTTCTTGTGCTATTGATTTCAGTTGACCAAAATAGGATTTTTCTTAATCCATGCAAGGATTATAGACCATCTGCGAGAGGATATATTAATGCGAGCCTCATCACGGTAGAGTACATTGAAGCTTTACTTTATTCTGTCTCTCAATATAAATCTATATGAGGTACTTGAAACTATATCTCTGCATGTCCTTCTGACCATATAGGAATTATTTGTTTCTGCAGACTTCTTCATCAGATAACATTTCTCGGTTCATAGCCACACAGGGCCCACTACCACATACATATGAGGATTTCTGGGAGATGATAATACAGCACCGTTGCCCTGTGATTGTGATGCTTACTCGATTAGTGGACAATTATAAGGTAATTCACTGCATTAAGTTCAAGGTAGTTATTCTGATTCGTAGACGTATGTGACTGCCACGGAAGTGATTGAAAGAGTATATGATGCCTCAATTCTGAAGATGCTGCAGGCCATCAATGTATTTTGCTGTTCAAAATTTCTGTATGTGTGTGTGCGTGTGTGAGTGAGTGGGTTAACATGCATAGTGTTCCTATTGAAAAAGAAGCAAGTACTGTAATGAACCAGAATAAAGCACTTACACCTCATTGTACAAGCTTTTATGATATACACAATTTAGTTTTCTAGATATTTAAATGTTCTGAATCACTTCTGAATTTGAATTGTATGTGCAGACAGTAAAATGTGGAGATTACTTTCAAGCAGAAGATGGTCCAAGAGATTTTGGAAATATTTCTATAGTGACGAAGTGGATCAAAAATACTGACAACTCATTACTTTTGCGCAACTTGGAGGTGGGCTATAAGGAGGTAAGTTCTATTTTATTTTACATGTATATTTTCAAATGATTAGAAGACATGTCAGTGATGGTATATGGATCGTTTAAGCAAGCTAAAAGGAGAAATATATGATCAATGGTGAAATACAGTATTATTCTCAAACGGAATACTTTCTATGTTTTTTGTTTATGAGCTGAAATAAAGAACTGCTAGAAGCACAACTCTACCCTTCTCATTAGCTTTGGTTGTTTTTAGCTTTAGGGTAAGGAATTAATGTGTAAGATTGTTGTGGTCTGGATATGGAGACCAGTGTCACATGCTAATATTCAAATGCAGTTTTAGGCCTTGGAAAACAAGTGATCAAGGTACTAGAATTTTGAAAGATGCAGGAATTGTCTCTTTTAAGTGGTGTGCTCCTGCAGAGGAAAACAAGGCATTAGGGTACTGGAACTGTACTCTTCTGTAAACATGCAGTTGGGATCTTGTTTATATCCCACTGCTCTGAGACTTTAATGGGACCATTACCTCAATGGATATCCTATGAGAGCAAATATCTTTCACCTGAGCGTATCATCACTACATTCAATAACTGCCTGAATGGAGGAAAATTATTTCTGAGGTCATGAAGATTGCAATATATACATATCATGCATCAAAATGATTTCAGTGAAGGTAGATGCAATTTTGGTGTTGTCCTCATAGCTGATGGGTATCTCGTTTTGGAGTTGAACCTTGTTCTGGTGGTAGGCATTTACTGAAATAATTTATCCCATTTGTAACTCATGTTTTTCATACATACACATGTTTAGTTGGTATATGTTTTCAAGGCATAAATGGCAATGGTTCTGCAGTGTTTCCATAGAAGAGTGTTTAGGATGGCAACAAAAGCACTGTCAATCTGTTAGGCCAGAATGCTGTGAGTACTATCAAACCATAATTGGCTCTATGGTTCTGGGAAATGCTTTGAAGTTTTGTTTTGAAAGGTTCAGGGATCAACTGTTGGAGTGACCCCTGCTTTGTAAATTTTGTTTGATCTCACAGCTACATATAGTTACCAATAGTTTAGGAAGTCTGAGGTTCAGTTGCTTTATCAAATTAGTTTCTCTCTCTCTCTCTCTCTCTCAATAAGGAAAAATTGTTCTGTTAGTTTAAAGAGAAAAAATAACAAGTCATCTCCTCACCTTTCATGGTTTGTTACTTGTTGATTGGTGGCAGACCTTGTCAAGTTGCTATAAGATTGAACTTTCTTAAATTAAGGGACAGCATTACTTCAGCCATATGCAATTTGGGTTTGCATGTATCAGTGGAGGCCCCATTCGTCTCTCTCTTCATGAAGCTTTGTATTCAGCCTGATGTCTGGAGGCACTTTTCTATGTTTATAGACTTCTTTTCTTCAACTTGGTTTTTTAACTTACTATTCATTTTTTCTGGAATTTGTTTTTTTTAAAAAAAAAAAAAAAAAAAAACACTCAGAAGCCAGAACAGCATCTATAACACTTGAGTTTTTACCCCAGATGTATGCTTTAGGTCAGTACCTAGGTCCACTGCCATTTAGTCCTGCTTTCTAACAACTTGCTGACTGAATTATTGTTCTTGGAACATGTATAATGTTTGGTTTTATTGCTTAGTTTGTTTTTTACTCCAATAGCCCTCTTTTATGGTGGAAAATGATAAACATGTTATTCCCTTCTCTTATATTATTTTTCTTCCAGGCAGAGGAGCCACCCATTTATGTTCTGCATATTCAGTATCCGGAATGGCCTGACCATGGAGTTCCAAAAGACACAATTGCTGTCCGTGAAATTTTTAAAAGAGTATATCATGTACCACCCAGTCTTGGCCCAATAGTGGTCCACTGCAGGTTCAGCTCGTGTACTTTGGATTCTGTGATGATTGGCGATTTGCTAGATTTCCATAACATCTGAGACAACCCCTCTCTTGTTCAGTGCAGGAATTGGTAGAACAGGAACATATTGCACAATTCACAACACGGTCCAGAGAATCCTTGTTGGTGACATGTCTGCTTTAGACATTGCTAATACCGTAACCACATTTAGGTCTCAGCGAATTGGGATGGTTCAAACCATGGTATCTTCTTCTGCTTGTTTAAAGCTTCCATTTTTTATTTTATTTTTTCCTATACTGAGGCTTTTAAGTTTGTTAAGATCAGTGCCTTTTAGTCTCTTGTTGCTAATAGCATTAAACATTAACAAAATGAGCACTCATCGAAAAATGTCTGGTGTATATCTAACAATCAATGTTGATGGTGATATTCCTAGCTAAGCCAAAAGAAGCCGGAAAAAAAGTCCTTTTTCTCACCATCCACGAGTAGATGTCCTCATTTTCAGGGACAAGTCGTAGTTCAGTTTTAATGAATTTTTTTTTTTTCAAAATTAATATTGAACCTAACTTCCTTTTTTTTTTTTTTAGGAAAAAAAAGAAGCAGAGATTTCTTCCATACTTAATTTGTTTCATTGCCAACTTGAGAAAGATTTGTTATTTTTTAACCTATGCCAAACTTTATTTACTGGCCATGAAGTATGTACTTCGTTATTTATACCCTATAGCTGTACTGCCATAATTTCTATATCTCTATACATGGTTTTTTTTCCCTTTGTTAGGGATAAGTTTTTAGTCCATTCTTTGTTGTTATTGCATAGAGAAGAAAGAGCACTGAAAATTTTGCAATGGGATCTTTTTGAAGTAATTTTTCTAGTAATCATGTATTCATCGTAATTATCTTTGCTGACTCTTTTCAACTCTGTTCACTAGGAGCAATACATTTTTTGCTATGAAGCTATCGTTGATGAACTAGAAGATCTCATCTCAGAGATGAACAATTAGCCTACCTCAAAATGGTGTGCAATTTTTTCCAGCTTATTTTTTCATAGGTTTATGCTTCATACCATGTTGTCTGCGTTTCAAATGTTGGGTGAAATAATATTATGACTCCAGGTTTGTTTCCTTTATATAATCACAGTGTTATCATTTTATTGTTTGATATTATATGGAGCCCATTTGTTTGATCCAGCCATTGTGTCTCATTTCTTTTATGCAGCTACATTAGTTACTTCTTCTTGGTGATTAAAAATAAACGTAATTGAACCAAGAGAACTGTGACTGCTTGATCGTTTCTCAGGAAGTAGTGAGATAAGGGCTCTTGATATATTTGTCCCCTATAACAGATTGTGTAACTCTGGCTTCTTGTGAAGCAAAGATTGCTCTGAATTCTGCTGAACAGCCAATTTTCATGTTGGTAAGAAGCTGCCAGGAAGATCTGAATCCTTTCCATGATCTACTACATACCTGTGGTTTTCTGGGCATGGAGATAATTGTAGCCATTGCAAGTTCAGTGCCTGATATTTTTGAGATGGAATAAATGCTAGTAAGTTCACAATGCATGTCCAGATTATGTCATTGGCTGTAATGTTCTAAATGCTCCAATCGAATTTAATAGACAAATAAATTTCGTAGACGTTGGAAAAATCTTCAAATATTGCTCCAGGGAATCTTAAAAATATGTTTTGCCTTCCTGAATATTAAAAAAGAAGCTACGTAAGTATACCTAGGATCTGTATCGTTCGTGGGTTTGGTTTCGGTTTTTGTTTTCAACTTTTTCTAGGAACATAATCGGAGTTTTTTTTTTCCCCCCCTTAACGAATCACTATCATAAATTTTCAAAATCACTTTTATGATTTTCAAAAGTTTTGCAATCAGTTTTTGTTTATTATGTTACTGAAAAACAAAAAACAAAAACAATAAAGTTTCTTCCTTTAGTGGAATTTTTTAAAACAAAAACAGAACCAAAAAGATGAAACCATGTATTAATTTTATTTGTAGTAATCCATTCCAGTCTAAATTATTATGCTGTCAACTCATCTCTCAGTGCCAGTTTTTGCTCCGTTTGATCTTTGCTCTACTTTCAAGTGGAACAGCAGTTTTTGTTTCAACTTTTAAAAATATAAATGTTGGGTAAATAATTTGTTTTAATAAAAAGCAGACATTGCTATTATTAAAAAAAGGCTTTCATACTTTGTTTATAATCAGCCCTCAAGATGCTATACTTATTAGCAAAGCAGAGCCTGTTGCAGACGCATTCGTACGTAAACAATACAGTAAAAGATAGAAGAATATGAAAAGAAATTAATACGGAAGAGTATCTATTTTTATTACTGTTAATTAAGAATATGTCAGGACTAGTTAATTAGGCAACCATGTACGAGGGCCCTAATTGTTTGGTGTTTTAATTAGATTTTTCATGTATTAGGGAGTTGGATTAGGCAATAGCCCTTTATGTTTATTTCTCTATTATATAAAAAGGAGATGGAAATTAAATAAAGACATCGAGAGAAATATATTCATAAGGCTAAGAGTTAGGAGGTCTCTTCAAGACAAACCTCCATTGTTATTGTTAAAATAGGTTTCTCTAGAAAAGGCAAGAACTAGAGCAAGGAAACAAAAGAAGATTTTTCTGTACATACCTTTGACATGATTCTTGTCTCGAGACCATAAAAGAGCCGAACAGCAACACTTCTCGTACATATTACTGCACATGATTAAGATTTTGCTTAATCCATATTCACATTAAATGGAATGAACATCACATTGAACGTAAGTATAATATGACTAAAGCTCAGACGTCATTCTTTAAAGAATTATTTGGTTATCAAGAATAGAAAACTTAGAATAGAAATGCGAGAATCGGAATAAAAATTAAAAAATTCGAATGATATTTGTATTTTCATATTATGTTGTAAATAGTAATAACTAATAAGTAATCAAAATAAAATTTAAATTTTTTTATATCTGATTTTTAATACGAATAAAAATAATGATTAAAAAAGAATTTCATCAACTATGATAATAGTAAAAACGATAGAAGTGATTGTGATGACGATGGAGGAGTAGGAGGACGAAGAGGAGGTGATAATAATGACATTATAGTAATAACAATAATATCTTGTTTAAAAAAAATTGATATCATCCTCATAAGAGGTAGCAATGGAAGAAGAGTGGTAGTGATGGTAACGAGGAGAATGAGTGATGACGGAATAATAATAATAATAATTTTATTTGTCACCATCGTCAATTGTGGTGGTGGTGGTAATATAATAAAAATGATAGTGATAGTTGAAGAGAAATGGTGGCGAATAACAATAATAATAATAACTTAAAAAAAATTATCACCACTACCAATGGAAATGGTGGTGGTGATGATGACTGTAGTAGTTGTGGTTGTGATAACGACGAAGTAAGTGAATATCTCGCGACAAGAAATGAATCTAAATTTTAAGATGACGGAACCCTTTAATCCAATCCATAAAATGTCTTTTCTAAAGCTAGGGGAAATGCATCTCAAGTACACCAATTAGTAGGTATGAGAGGATTAATGTTGAATCCACAAGGACAAATGATTGATTTACCCATTCAAAGCAATCTACGCGAAGGATTATCTTTAACACAATATATCATTTCTCACATATTATTATTTTGAAGCAATATACAATAAATAAAAATAATATATTACTATTTTGAAGGAAAAAATTATCATTCTCATTCTTTGTTTTTGGTCTCATCTCTCACATGAGAATGAAGCTCTTGTAATTTTCATTTTCACCTCCATTCTCAATTTATTTTTTAAACCAAAAAGCTATAAAATAAAATAAAATAAATCTCCTTTTCATTTTCACCACTCTATTTCGATAACTAAACAACACCTATGTGAAAATTTTAGTCATCTTCATTGTGGTGGATTGTGACATTTATTTTTAATTTAGTTTAACATTAGGCTTATGCTAAAAGCACTCAAGGTACAAAAAATTGAAAATATTAATTTATGTTTCAAACATTGGTAAAAAAAAGGTTGTACATAAAAGGAAATAATAATAATAATAATAATCCCAATTTTATTATGTGTTAATTATCCAGGTCTTTTGAATATTACTAGTTGACTTCTTGTGTATATTGTAAGCCGAACTAAACATATTTATTTTAGTTTGATAATATGAACTATACAGACTAGTCAATAAAAATATATTAAATTAAAATTAAAAGATAAAATTTCATATAATGTTATAGTTTTTAATCGAATTTTTTTGTTTACATTTTTAATAAATTTTGTAGTTAAAAAAACATGATTTGTTCTTTCTTAAATAAAAAACCATAATAATCTAAATATAATTTTTTTAAAAAAAAATGTCTTAATAATTTTTTTATATCATTACATCAAAAAATAAAAAAATAATTAATATAAAAACTTGTAAAAAATAACAAAAGAATCTTTTTTATTCTTGTTTAATACCGATGAGAAGATTAGCTTTTAAAAATATATATATTTGATTTATATATTTATTTAAAAATAAAGAATAATATTAGTATAAAAATTTGTATTTAGAATTATTAAGCATTTCTTCTAAAATATTATTTTAATTACTTTATTTAAAAAATATTAATTTTAAAATATTAAAAAATAATTATAAATGGTTAGTGTGTGTTTGTATGTGTGTGCATAATGATCACAAGTGTGTCGCATAAACCAAAATATATTTTTTAAAAAAATTAAGTTGTAAAAATATATTGAAGTTAATAGAGTATAATAAAAACAACTACAAAATTATTTTTGATAAAATTTAATTATATAAAGAATAATCAAATAAAACATGTGAATTTTATTTTTAAAATTTGATTATATAAAGATTAAGCAAATAAAAACAACTAAAAAATATTTAAAAAATACATATGTAGAGAAAATGAATCATATTTATTAAAAAATAAAAATAAAAATTAATTTGATGAGAATTTTTATGAAAAATGATAAATTAAAGAAATCAATTTTAAACAATAAGAGTAATATAGTTTGATAGATTCTAGTTCTTTACCAATGCTATGTTACGAGTTCAAACAAAACTTATAAAATTTAATTTGAAACAATAATTTTAATTTGATGGTAGGTGTTATGTTGTTGGTTACTAAAGTATATTAAATAGAAGGTAAAAAAAAACTATTATTTTTAAAGAATTCTATGTTTAACAAAATATTTATTATGTTTTTTATAAATTTTATGCTAAAAAGAAGTTAGTTTATTCTTTTATATCCAAATTCTTAACTAGTAACTTATAGTAAAAATTCTAAAATTCATGGACTCTTAACTAAAAACTTTTCTTATAATTTTTTTTCAAAAAAATCTAAGACAATTTATCTAAAAATACTTTTAATCTTTAGATTAAATTTATATATATTGTAAATTATTTTATCAATATATATATATATATATATATATATATATATATATATATATATATATATATATGATCATGCTTCTATCAATTAAAAATTCAAAGAATTCATTTGATAAATTATATAAAAAAATATTAAGAGCAAATAATGATATATATACATATAACCATGCTATTGTCATTTAAGAATGAAAAAAAATCATCATATAAATTATATTAAATTTTTTTAAAGAGCAAATAACAATATTTTAAAAAATCATTAAAAATTCATACATATATTTCTCTCTCCTCCCTCATCTCTCTTCGTTTCTCTCTCCTCTTATAAATTAGTAACCATATTACAATACAAATAAAGTTGCAAATCGAAATAAAAATTATTAAAAAATGAGGGAGTAAAAAACAACATAGCAAAACTTTACGTATAGAATGCTCGAGAAAAAAAATTTAATGATTTATTTTGGCTAACAACGAGTCTCTATTAGATATGAGATTTTATTAAACATTTTATGATTTTTTTCTTTTCTCTTTTTTTTCTCTCCTTTTTTCTTTTATTTGATGGAAGGTCATCATCAATTCCTAAAAAATTAGGAGACTTGACAATCCTCCACT